GGGGGGGGGGGGACATAGCAGAGATTACTTCACATTAAGCTTAGGATGACTGTTTTTAAAATCCAAAATTATGTCTTTCATGGTCCTCACAAGCTAACCGCAGGAATCTAGCAAAATTGTTGCCCATTTGCATCAAATTTGCATGATATACTCTGATATGGTGTTTCTCTAATTTTATTTTATTTTTAAATTACAAAACACATAGTTTGTTCTTAGTAGGCACTGTTTCTTTTTAATAAAGACTTTCCAAGATGCGTTTGAGTTTTCTTGTACAGCATTCTTATTGAAATCATTGGCAAAAAGGATAATTGGCTTAATTTAAAACATGTGTGTCCACATGCACACACACACACACACACACACAAAATAATCTCCTTAAGGTTGTATGAAAAAAACATGTGGTTTAGTTCCTAAATTGCCCATCTAATTTTGTTGTAGAAATATAGCAGCAATAATATTATTACATATGATAAATTGATACAGCATGTTAATGTCAATCATACTGAATTACCTTGTGGATGGGTCCCACTCACATGCATTTTTCAGAAATCACTTACTCTCACTCTGTCACCCAAATCCAGCTATCAGTTTTGGAAGGGTGTATACCTTAATCAGCTCCACAGCATGTGTTTCCTCAGGTTGGAGCTAGGAGGCTAACCCAGTGAAGCTTCTTTTTGTGTAAACATATGAAAATAATAAATCAAACTGTTTTAAATTATCTGTGCTCCATATTTCTTCTAATAATTTTATTGTCACTGTCTTGCAATTGCAGTTATATTTTTCCTCAGAGTGTATAGTAAATAATAACAGATGCTACCGAGAGAACATAAGTCTACTTAACCAGTCTATTTCTGAACATGTGCGTGTTTAGATTCAGCTTGACTTATGTCTGTGTCTATTTTGGTCTGGACCTGTGAAATCTTAAATGACTCATACAGTTAAAGTATCTTAAAATAACCACTATGTAACTCCCAGTTTGGATACGTACAGACAATGTGTTGAAGTCTTCCTACTTAAAAGTCTTCATTCATTTTTTTTTCTGCACTGCCTTATTATCTCACATATGAATTAACAAATGCTACAGTTCTTAAATGTTTTACATTTGGCATTGCTAACATTGAAAATCTATGTTCATGCTTCTAATTTTGCTGCAAATGAGATAAATGTAAAGGAAGTTGATGGGTTTGTTCATGATATCTTATCTGGATCATGCTTTGTGATATATAAACAACGTGAGTACAGTTTTCTGTTAGCTTAGATATCAACTGTAGAAAATATTGTTTACTAGATCATATTGGCATTTAAATAATTTTTAAAGCCCCCAAATAGTGATAGTCATAGAAATTTCTTTAGCACTGATGCACATATTTATTAAAATACTTCTCATTAACCCTACTACTTAATTTACTGAAAGGAAAATCTCTAAAGGCACGGCAGAGGAAACTTCTAAGATACTTACTATGAATCAATGTTTACTAAAAGAAATTTTATTCACAAATTCTTAGGTCTAAATAAAAAACACATTATGCATTGCTCCCTATATTATTTCAGAATTAACTTAGCCTTGGTAATCTATTTTCAGCATTATCATTTGAAACAGTAATTTTAAGAATCTCAGAGAACTCATTTTCTTTTAAATCATTATCCTGAAGTATTCTTAACATATGAATTTTGTGCTTGTCTTTAAAATCATTGCCTTATAGGTGGGCTTTGCTGTGAAGTTGGGGCAGAATTCTCAATGCAGTTATTTAAACCACAGCCTAACAAGCTCTACCCTTTGGTCATTTATACTGTTCAGTTTGGATCACATAGTTATTATTGCCTTTGAGTAAGACTCAAGGGATTTCTTTCTCAGGTAGCAGCTCTTCTAAGTAACAAAGATGGTTTCAGCAGCTCTAATATCTTATATAGGGTTTAAACTAAAGTCTCATAAGTTAAAATGTATTTTCTATTGAAATTCAACTGGAACATGGACAAATACAGGTGGATATATGTAATTCAAGCAATTCAGCTAGTTAAGATACAGAAAAAAAAGCACATTTGGCACATTCAAAATCTTTAGCAAAATATTGTACAACCTTTTTCAATCAAAGCATAACAGTAATAGTTTATACAGTTATGAATGTTTTCCTCATGCATGCAAAATTACTCTCTCTCTCTAATTGATGGTCATATCCAACCTATAACCCAAGATAATATTTCACTCTGATTAAAGGAAGACGCCTGTGTTCGAGATCATTCTAATTTTACTTTCCTGGGACTAAAATTAAGAAATCATAATGTAAGCCCTTTCAGAGTAATCCAATTCAGAAAATAATCTTACGTAGTCGATTTTGAGCTCTTGCAAGGCAAATGTCAAAGAAAAAAACAGGTCCAAAATTGGTTGCTAAAATTTATTACTAATGTCTTTAACAACCTCTGCGTCATTGGAAACCTACTGTTAAAAATAATAAGCCTATAAATTGTATCTCTGGCTTTGTATCTGATTCTTAGGGGGGGGAACAGCAAATTAAGGAAAGCCACAAAATATCAAGCTTGGTTAATTTTGCATTCATATGTGTATCGATACTAACATTCTTAACTTTTTCACGCTGGTCATGACTAAATAACATTGTGGTTAATAAATATCCAACGGCGAGCGGTGCAGACCATAGACAGTCGCATCTACGCAGACCGTGTCCTTGCACCGGCTGCTGAGCAGCAGGTTGCAATTCAGTTATTCTACAGATACAAGCCCGCCTGGCGACCTTTTCTCCTCAGCTAGGAACGAAGGGCAGAAAAGCAGCTTGGAACTTTGCAGCAAATGAAGAGAAGCGCGGTCTTACCTGCTGCTCGCGGGCCTGCGGAGGGCTCGGCCGGTTCAGCACCCGGACAGCTCCCCGCCCCTTATAGGCGCCGGGCGGCCGCGGGCCGCTGACGTCACCGTGCGAGCCCCAGCCCAGAGAGCTCCCGAGAGAGAAAATCATNAAAAAAAAAAAAAAAAAGAGAGAAAATACTGCATGCTTACGCCACCTGTCTTTTTGTGGCAAAAACTGCAGTTGTCTTTCATCAAAACCTTTGAGGCTGGAAGTAAAACCCTGCGCGCAGTTTCCCTGGGAAAGCGAGCGCTCCGCCCGCCGCCCGGGTCCCAGCGGCGGGGACACGGGGTCCTCGCGTCGCTGTGAGCAAGTTTTACAGGCGAGGCGGCGTCTTCTCCTCCGTGGCCGCGAAGCCACAGCGTTGGGGTTCCCTGGGGGCTTCAGGGGAGCGGGAGCCGCAGCACGGATGCCAAGCTTGCTTTCTTATTATGACCGCGCGCAGCGTTGCTTTTACATTTATGTTTATGTGAATAAAATTTAAAAAAAGTTTTCTCTTTTTGAAATGAGAGTAAACTTTTAGGCTCTAATGACAGGGTTTTGCTTTAGGGTTGCGATCTCATTTGGAAGCGGGCAGTCCTAAGGCTTCAGGGAGCGCAGGTGAAAATCCTCACGTGAATCTGTTGCAATGGTTTATAATATCTTATCTCAGAAATGGAAGCTCAACGGCTGAGTGTTAATGAAAACACTTCCATTAAGAAAAATAATTATTTCGGTTACAAAAAAAATTGTGACGTATGCAATTAGAATTCACTTGCAGTCGAGGGGAAGCTGGGCTATAAATATTTTCCTTCTGTTCAACCTGATGAATTGAATACCTTCCAAAAATGTGACTGATCCAGGGAATAATATATTAGTCAACTCGCAGCCTCTCGGATTTGCAATTCATGAGCGTTGCTGTGCCGATTATCTGTTTTAATTATTTATATAAGTATAAATTTTAACTTTATTGTATTAAAGATTTGAGTTTCTAAAAATGATATAATTTGAAATATACTTTAAGTATGCAAAGGAATCTCGTTATATGATAGATCCCTTTATATCTCTGTTAATAAATAATCAGCCACTGATTTATTCATTCAGTAAATTGCAATGACTACTAAGTGACTGATACAAAGATGAATGATATATAGATATATGATGATACATATATATGACACATATATATATATATATATATTGTTTCTGAGGATGCTTTAATTTAATGGAGATGACAGGCAAGCAGATTATTTTGATATAAATTGGAAAGCACTAAGAAAGAGGGTAGCCAGCAGTATTTGGGAAGCATTGTGGAGAGCCACTTGGTTCAATGTAGAAATTCAGGAGCAAAAATTGGGTGGGGGGTGGGGGGAAGAGGGGGGAAGCCTCCTGGGAAAAGAACCCTGAAGTGAGATTTTTCATGATCAGGTTTTATTAAAATGATATCTAACTATGAGAGATAAACCACAGTACCTTTGAACTCCTCAAGGAAATAGGAATAGTTTTAAACCTTAAGGAAAAAATCTTGGGAAAAGTGGCCCTTGATTCTCTCTCTTTGCTCTCCTGGGGAAGATATTTGATTTCCCTAAACGGCTGAGAGACCCTCTGTGGATTGACATGGAACTCATCCAGGCTCCGGCTGGAGGCCTATGGCCAGTTCACCCAATAATCTCATGTTTCATGATGGGCTTTTAGAGCACGGTCAAGTTCTAGATCGAAGAGGCCTTAGTAAACGCCATTTCCCAAGCACCACTTCAATGACACCAGTTCATTTGCTGATATCTTTGTTATCTCTACACACGTGATAAGATTTTCTTAAATTTTGATAAAGGCCACAGTGCGTTTGACTTA